ACAAAGCCTGAGTAAAGCGCTGGTGGCAAATCTGACTTGAATCAACACGAGTCTCTTCTCCTTTATCTGCCAGTTTTAACATTATGCAAGGACATATTTCATCTGTCCTGGAAAACTGCAGTGAAACATCTGTTGATTTCATTAAAACATAAAGATTCATAGGTTATGAGGGCAGAAAGAGCCATTATGATTAATCTAGACTGATTTGCTATATAATTAATTGCTGTCTCACTATGTTTTTTAGAAAAAACAAGTTCCTGTTTTAATTTGCCAGTAGCTGAGAATACACCATAACCTGTAGTAATTTATTTCAACAGCAAATTACCCTTATGTAAAAATAAGTCATAATATTTTAAAATGTGAATTTCTCAAACTTCAGTTTCTAGCCCCCAGATCCTAGTATTCCTTTGTCATGTGGATTTAAGAGCCCTCTATTGTCAAATTCCATTTTTTGCATAGATACTTGTAGTTTGTGATCAGATCACCCTGTAACTTCTACCTATTAAAAGGACTGAATTTGAATATTCTTTGCTATGGGACATGCATTCCAGTTCTTTAATTATGTTCTCTTTCTTCATTCTTGAACTTCTGGTGTGACAAACTGCAGATATCCGAAGCTGCCTTAGTTTTTCACTGCCCAAGCCAAAGATTCTGCTGTCTCTTTATTCCTGCTCAGAATTCACCTGGTGAATTCACATTCAAGGATTATTTTTAGTCTTTTGTTTATGGTGCTGAGAGTTCTGACTATACTGAGTTGTACTTGACTATATGTTAGGATTTTGATGTCCAAATGTGGCTGTAAGCAGTGTCTAAAGGCAGTCACATAATCACAGTTGCACTTCTTCCTTAACCACAGGTATTCTTAACATTTCTCAGGGTAGACTGGGTTTTGGTTGTGTTTGCTGTTTTGTTTTTATTTAAAGAAAATGTTGAAGAACAACAAATACTTGAGTAACAGAGATTCAGATCTGGGTAAGTCTGTTTCTTTGACAATAATGGACTCAGAATGCTTGTATACATTCAATACCCTTTCACCTTTCTCCTGTATGTCTTGCTTTGAAGTTACTTTGTCAGTCTTTTTTCCAGACTTGCTCTCAGATCTACAATTACTAGTGACCAATTCCATGTAGTTTTCTCTAGTCCTTTAAAAGTCTTCTTTGTTGAGGATTTTCTGCTGTGGCCTTGGTGTAATCAATGAAATGCATGGCAGTCTGCTGTAAACCCCAGACAAACTTGGAAGCGGACTTTCCCCAAAGCAGAAAGAAGTTATTATTCAAGTATCAAATACATGAAAAAGGAAGCATAACCTGTGTGTTTGGATGTCACGGGGAAATTACTTACAGAGAGAGTGGTGAGGTGCTGGAACAGGCTGCCCAGAGAGGTAGTGGATGCCCCATCCCTAGAGGTGTTCAAGGCCAGATTGGATGGGGCCCTGGGCAGCCTGGTCTAGCATTAAATGGGGAGGTTGGTGGCCCTGCATGTGGCAGGGGGGTTGGAGATTCATGATCCTTGAGGACCCTTCCAACCCTGGCCGTTCTGTGATTCTGTGTTGCTAAGCTTGGGAGCCGAAAGCTGCTTATTTGTATGTAAGCGTATTCCTTTTACCAACGACCTGCAGAAGTCCCTAAGAACAGATCATTGAGTCATAGCTATGCACAGGACATAGCCCAGCACCATATATCATCTGTAGGCACTGTGCTACTTCTCCTTTCACGTAGAGAAGATTCAAATCCAGGTACTTGTGCTATTTTTTAGTCAAATGTCCAAGTGAAGAACTGTTAACACTGCTCTATGAGAGTAATTATCCTATGATAAAATCATTAAAGTCACTATTCATTCTGGCCTGGCATTCTTTTGCCCCCCTAAGCAGCTCCGTAATGGGTGAAACCTTGAATGCAGCTGCACTGGAGTCACACCAGTCCTGTAAGTGCTGTGAGAAGGACTGTCTCCATTACCAATTATTCACTTTTCCAGACCATCGTTGCAGTGAGGCAAAGGGTAGACTGTACACATTCATTAAGAATACAGGAAAAGCCCTGCTAGAACTGAAGAACCATCAGCCCATTCATTCAGTATTCTGCCTCCAATAGAAGCAGTTGTAAGTGCTACTAAGAGTGAGCACATGGGCTGCCCTGGTTTTATCAGTATTCCATATCATGACATCATGTGGCAGGCTGTTGCATGCTTTTACCATTTGTACTAAACTCATTCTCTCTCCTTATCTTAACTGAGCCATTTTTGTTTTTCTTCTCCCCCTCCCCCTCTGCCACATGTGAAACTGTGACATGAGCATAGTTATCAGCATTACATTTTTCTTACATTCCCACAGCATACAGTCATCTGATGATGAGTAGTTAGAAGGTCTTTCCCTCTCTTTTCCTTTACAACAGTTTGTAAAACTTCCTTCCATGCTTTCTCTTGTTTCTTTTTCTGAATCTGCTGCTGCTCTCTATTTCCATGACTTCTTGTAGTAGTAGCATGTTCCAAAAGTTCTCATTGTAAATAAGTAAAAATCTACTTAAACTTGCATTTCTGAGAATACTTCTAGTTGTGTTATTGCTGTAGAGCTGTTCTATGTTCACTTTCTCCACTGTTTTCTATAAGTTTTGATTACATTCCTTCTCAATCTAAATGGGAGAGCTGTGGCATTTTATTTTTTTTTCTGGCCTGTCCTCATAGACAGCTCTTCAATGCTTTTAATTGCTCCATTCATTTGCCTTTGTACCCTCAATTCCACCATTTCCTTGAGATGCAGAGACCAGCCTGTGTGCACTGCCCTGAGCTAGTGTTTGTGGAAAGCACCAGACGTGGCCCCAACAAAAAGTATGTGCAGAAGCCCTTGCCAGTCCAGGTAGAAACCCAGAGCTACAGGGAGTAGTACACCTAACATGATTCACAAGTCTTTTCTGGATGCTGGTGTAGCTGTTGCTTGTCTCTGCTGTCTGGCTCATGGCACTTGTTTGTCTGCCAGAGGGAGAGAAGTGCTGCAATGCACCTCCCTACTGAGCTGCTGGAAGGAGGTGTGTGGTCTGTCTAGCCAGTGTATTTGACCTGGTTAATCCATGGAATGAAACTACTACAGTTCCACAAATTGAAAATATATTTTATTCGTGTTGTGGATTATAACAGACTTGATGTTTTCAAAGTCTCTGGAAGGGCAGAGTGCTCTCATAGGAAACTAGAGCAAAATAACTACAGCTATTGCAGGTCAATACTGTCCTCTGCTGGGAGGAACTACAATATTGTGACATGACTCCGCATGGGAACTAACATTTGGATTCTCCTTTCACTCTGATGTAGGACATTTTGCCTTTGGAACAGGGAGAACAGATGCTGTGCTGGCTGCACTGGCGAAATTCTCTGTTAGTGCTTAGCAAAATACAGAAGTTCTTCACTTGCTACAACTTTGTTGAATTGCGATTTCATTTCTTTTTTTATCCTAAGGTCATCTTTAGAATCTTGTTCCCCATCTCTCTATCACATGCCTTTTAATATTTTTTGCTGATTTTTTTTTATCTGCCTTTCCTGTACTGTGATATTCCATAGCTTATTTCTGTTAGTTGCTGGTAGGATTATATATGTCTGTCTGATTCCAGAAATTTTTTTTTCTGATTTACTTATCCTCAATCTACTGCTGGGTTTACAGCCTGGAGTACATCAGTGAAGAATTATCTGTTCGGTCAGAAACTCCCCTTGGGCCTTCAGACTGAGTATTACAGATGCACGTCCAAATGTTACATCTGTATGTTTTTAAGCCTGTCCATACAACACCTCATGATATTTTTAGAATTAAAAATGCACGTCTCTTTTCCCTTCTCTTTTCTTAGTAAATTGCTGACAACTCATTCTGTTAGCATTTTGAAAGCAGAAGAAATCAAATCTGTGTTCATGTGTGTGATGCCGTACATAATAGGTAGAAAGTACTTCATACCTCCTTATAATAGCTCCTTACAAGAAATCAGAGTTTTCAGTAGTGATGCAGAACTGCTATTTGCAGAAATGCTTCTGCTTGCTATATGTGCTCGTCCAGCTTCAGGAAGCATGGAAGGCTGTTGAAAGGAAGATCTATTAATGAATATTATATAGCTCTGTGCCTTCTCCAGTCCCTGACTCTGAGAGGATGGCATGGAGCAGAGGGACGTGCTCTGACACATGTAGTTTAATTCTGTACCTGCGAGAAAGAGAAAGTTGGGACTTTCACCTGAGCTAGGCATGCTCAGTAGTATTTGGCTATTTGGGACTCTCCTCTCACATATTTTCCATTCATGTAGCGCTATGCAGAGTCCAGAGCTCTGGTCATCACCCCAGACTGTGTTTTAGTCCAAGCACTCCGTACATAGAGATTTTTATGTGTTATTCATTTATACCTATTGTAGGTTTGTGCCTGTTGTCTTTTAAGATTTCTTGGTAAGATAAATTTCTCTCTCCCTCTCTCCTTCCTTCTCTCTCTCTCTCTCTCTAGGAACCACAGGACAATCACCAATAGTTCACAGGAACTTGGTTACTTTTTTTTTTACATCTCTCTTCTAATAGTAAAGTAGGTTTATAAGAATAATAAAAAAATGACAGTGGTGGCACAAAGTTCCCTGCTGTGGTTAGCAGAGATGGACATAGAGGTTAAACTTTGATATGTATTTTGTATGGACTTTATGCAAATATAACAGCATGATGTCAGACATACACTGCATTTTATATACAACAGCTTTTACAGCTGAATGAGCTTGTGATTGAGTTAATTGTTCTCTGTGTCCTTCAGCAAGTGTTCTTCTCTTCTGCCAGATTATCTGATCTATAGTCATCACAGAATACCCATTGCTGTCATTCCTGTACACCTTCCTGGTTCTGTTCTCTGCTTCTGTCATCATGTCACATTCTTGCGTGGTCTCCCTTCAGCTCCCCCCTGCCTTTTGGGAGAAGTTTATCTCCCACGGATGAAGGTAATTGGAGTATTTGTACAGTATGCAGGATTGATGTATGATGTTTTTCTTTGTGTCTGGCAGGTTGTTTATAAGAATAATGACATTCGTCTGGAGCTGTCTCGCTTGGCACGGATTGGTGATACTAAGATGAAAATCTATGGAGAAGTGAAATTTGTATGTGAGAATGTGGCCACACTGGACCCCATCAGCTTTGAGACACCTGAGGCATATATTAGTTTGCCCAAATGGAACACCAAAAGGATGGGCTCCATATCATTTGATTTCCGAACCACCGAACCCAATGGGCTAATACTTTTCACCCATGGCAAGCCTCAGGAGAGGAAAGATGCCAGGAGCCAGAAAAACACAAAAGTAGACTTCTTTGCCGTTGAACTTCTAGATGGGAACCTCTACTTGTTGCTGGACATGGGATCTGGGACCATTAAAGTCAAAGCCACACAGAAGAAAGCCAATGATGGAGAATGGTATCATGTGGATATTCAGCGAGATGGAAGATCAGGTAAAGTGGTACTTTTTCTATAGTAGATTCATCTTTCAGTTCTAGACCTACTAGTTATTAATCACCTTCTTATAAAAACCTAGTCTTACTCTGATGACATTTGTCCAGCAAAACAAAGATGAGAATGGACAGATTTTCGTTAGATGTCTAATGTGAACTTCAGATAGAGCGTCACAGAGGGAGGCTATTAACCTTTATTCTAAATCTTCTGATACTCTGGACCTATCTTTACAATTTTGTATGTAATTGTAATGGTGACTTCTTTGTAGGCCATGGTAAGGTTTAAGAACCTCCTGAATTGTTATTATTTCATCCTTGTTTTGAGAAATTCTCAGTGATTTACTTTGGCTTTCTTTTAAAAAGCAACTGAAACCAAATGAGAACTTCCTGTTGTGATCTGTGTCTTTCACTGAATCTTGTGTCCTTAAAAAACAGAGGGTTTAGATTTTGTCACAAGGAAAATAGAATTAATGTGCACAATCATTGAAAAAATCATGATGACAAATTAACATTTTCATACTGTTCTGTTTCACTTAGCATCTTGGAGTTTTCAGTTAGGTTTCTTTTTCGCTTGCAGCCTGTATGCCAAGTCTGTAGAAATCCTAGTCTAAATATCTAGATCAGCATTCAGTGGATTTTTTTTTTTTAATTTTTTCCCTCATAGCTTCTTATTTTCAAAAATATCTTTTAGTTTATTTTAATTAATATATTTACCATGCAGTTACAAAGAGGAATTCTGTTTGTTTCTAATGCTGTGTAAATGTTAGCATGCTAATGGTGATTGTGTAAGAAAACAAATAATGTAACTTCATCTTAAGAATATGTGAACAATTGTGTAAGAATTCCTTCTGGGCTGGTGAGATTTTTCAAAAGAATTTTCAAAAGAGCTGAATTTCAGCCACTTCATAGCCTAGCTGTTTGAACAGGTTTTTGCCTGAAGCCACTTTTTTCCTTTGATGATGTAAGGAGTTTTCCTGTATTTCACATCATCAGACTGTACTGGGACTTAATATATGTGATTATATATTGCTATCTCCTAAAGACATCGATAGGAACATTTTATAAAAGAAGCCTTAAATAAATAAAGAAGTTGAGCTTTGATTTCTTTAGAATAGCTAAAATTTAATTAACTTCCAAGAATAAACTCAATTACTAGCGTTCAGTACTGCCTTCAGTTTTCTTTACTTGCTTGGGGACTGTCTGGTCCCTGGAGAGGCAGCTGCAGGAGGAAGAGAAATGACACTAAACTCTCTGCTAAAAAATTTTGTAAAATCCCACAAGAGGGACCCATGTTCATTTGTCTACGAGGCTGTGATAGATGGCATTGCTACTTTGTGGGTGAGATCATGGGACTAGCTTGTTTGTTGTCTGACAGAAAGGTTTGTGATGGCCTGGACACTGATCGGAGATAACGGATTCTGAATTGAAAGCACTTTGCTCACCAAAATGAGCATATTTGCGCATTCTTTCCTCTCTCTCTTTTTTGTTTTTAATTGCTTTTTCTGCTAACAGTTAGTTCTGGGATAATGATCCTTAGTGACTGATTTTGTGTCTTCCAGATATCCAGTATACCGACACTGACTTTTCCATGGCATACCTCTAGGAAGCGTCAACCACGCTTATTTTGTGGTGTTCTGGTAGATGTAAGAAGGGTGTTCATGATCCCTTTTTGTTAGTCCTTGGCGTTTCTCCCTGTGTGCAGAACAGAGAATTGCTACACCTTAGAGATTTTTAATTTTTTTTTATTTTTGAATGCATATATCTATTTTGTAGAAACTGAACTGTAATAATGAACTTAACATTCAACTGAAATAGCTGTTTGGGTTTAATGAACTAGTCCTCTAAATGTTGGGATTCTTATTTCTAAGGCAGCCAGCCCTTTAATATATGTCATCTCCTTTACCTCTTTCCGTTTCAGAAAAGTCCAAAACTTCAGGCTCTGCTGGGCTTAGTAAAATAGCCTAAAATCCAGATATTCACTGCTGAACAGTACTAAAGCAGGAGTGCAAATGCTGGGAAAGCACAGCACTCTTATTCAAATAACCTCTGGCATCTCTGTCCCCTTAGGCTTTGTGTACACTTTAGTCTGTGCTACCTGCCAGAAGAACAAAAGCTGTTTTTCTCTGTACTCTGACAGAAGCTGTCAGCATGGACACAGACGCTGCGCTGTAACCTTTCATTCTCTGGGGAATGCTCCTACAGAGTGTCTACAAAATCTGTCACAGTTTCCAGTAGGGGAACACTGTGCATATTACATGAGACAACATTTTTGGTTGGTCATTGGCTACTTTAAAACAAATGGTATTCCATCCACTAAGACACTAAAAACCTTACTCCAAGCTTCTCTCTACAGTTTCATCAGCACAGTGCTTTACATACCAGCTCAGACCAGTAACTGGGGTGCTAGTTTGTTTGTTCTTTAGCCCTGCATGAAATCTCTAATGGCCTTGAAAGGAGGTACACAGATGCTTTTGATTTCCCAAGTTGGGGTTTTGTCTACTTCAACTCAGTCACAAATGTGGGATTCGAGGGAAGGAAAACAAATGATGTTAGCCTATCTAGCTCCTCTTTCCTAGGACCAATTCAAATTTTTTCCACCTCAGTAGCTTAAACTGAAAAGACCTGTACAGTGGAGCTAGTATCACTTCCTTACAGAAATAGTTGCAAGGTACAAATCACTGGCAGAAAGATTAGGCTGATGCTTAGGTTATTTTCTTTTACAGTCTTGTTCTCTTTCTCCAGGTTTTACAATTCTCCAGTATTCTTCAGTATTTCTTCTCTTTTAGATGGTTTCTTTACCTTTCTGGTTTCTCCAAGTGTTGTTTGCTTTCTCTATAATAGCAGCTGTGTAAAGATCAACTCTCCAGTGTTGTGTTACAATCCTTTGGATAGCATGTGCTCTGTATGCTGCTTTTGAGGACTGGCAGTGGAGACATTGGAAAGGTAGCTGTGATCCTGTGGCTTTGTGACAAACTTCCTTCACAATTATAGGTGTATTGGCACATCTTCTCTTTTCTTACAGTGTAAAAGAGAAAATGTCTGCACTGCTGCAGCTAGCTTTTACAAAATGATTCATCAAATAACTCTGGTTCTCTGTCAGCCTTTAATTTGTAATGCCTCTATTGCTTCTGACACTCTGCTGCCTTTTACATTATTCCTGTTTCACACATATGAAATACCTTGTCTCTTTGTTGTATGTGCTGTTCTCTAAGACAACACCCATTAAATTTAAAAAAAAGAAGCATTAATACATATCTGCACTTTCTCACAGAGACACAAAACTAGAGCTGATCTATTAACTAAACTCTCCCACTTTATTCTAGGTGTGTATGATAAAAATGCAATGATGTAGAATTAATCTTAAAGCCTGGATAGTCCTCTCTGAGGACAGACTGCTTTAATGACAAGGCAATTGAATGTGATGATTTATTGCTAGCATGAGTGAATTGCTAATTTTTTGCTGAGTGTCTGGTGGGTAGATGTCCTTATCACAAAAGCTGCTGAATGCTCTTCATTGAGATGTGAGAAGCCTGTGTTGAGTTTCCTGCTTTTTTTCAGATGTCTGACCTTAAAAAAGTCACTTTGCTTCTCTGCAACTGTTTCAATTGTTCTGATTGCGTTTCTGTATTGTATGTTCTGATTATTTTATGGCCTCAGTCTAGGTATGCCAGCATCTTTGCTTGCAAAATACAGAAGCCATTACAGTTTTAATAGTAAGTGTTCTTCAGAGGCAACTTTATCTTCCTCTACTTCAAATTTCCCATTTGTAAAATTGAAGTTAAAATACTTAACTGTCTTTGTGAAACCATAGAATGATTTACTTTGGAACAAACTTCTGGAGATTTCTAGTCCAAACTGCTGAAATATGTATGTCCTTCAGGGCTATGCCCATTTGTGTTTTGAATGTCTTCATGGCTGATGATTCGAACACCTCTCTGAGGATCCTGTTTCCAGTGTTTGATGACCTTCAAGGTGCAAAATGTTTAATTCCATAGAGTTCGAATTTTGTAGAATCATAGAATCATTTGAGTTTAAAGGGACCTCTAAAGGTCATCTGGTCCACTTCCTCTGTGATGAAAAGGGAGATCTACAGCTAGATCAGAGCCCCATCCAGCCTGACCTTGACAATCTCCAGGGACAGGACATCCACCATACCTCTGGGCAACCTGTACCAGTGCTTCACTACTCTTATCATCAAATCATTCTCCTTATATCTGGCATGAATCTCCCCTCTTTTAGTTTTTAGTTTGAAACCATTCCCCTTGTCCTATCACAGTAAACACTGCTGAAGAGTCTGTCCCCTTCTTTCTCATAGGCTTCTTTTGAGACACTTGACAAACCACTCTCAGGACTTCCCAGAGACATCTCTTTTCCAGGCTGGACAGCCAAAGCTCTTTGAGCTAGTAGGGGAGGCATTCCATCCCTTGAAAAGTTTCTGTTGGTCTTCTCTGGACATGCTCCAACAGATCTGTGTCTCTGCTGTACTGAAGACTCCACATCTAGATACAGTTCTCCAAGGGAAGATCTCACCAAGACACAGTTAGTGAGGCAGGATCACCTCCCTCGAACTGCTGACCACACTCAGTGTAGCTCAGGATGCAGTTGATTTTCTGGGCAGTAAGGGTACTCTTATTCTTGCAAGTTCTATCTAAGTAAAGTAGGATGTGTTGTGTCCAGGAAAAAGGAACTGGATTATAAGGACTCTGGAAAAAAAATGAGGGCCTTTCCTGACTGAATGAGTTTATAAAAAAGTGAATGAAATGTCAGGATATGGAAATGAAAAGCTGAGTGCTTTGGAGATGGACTTCACCATAGTTGTCTTTGGAAAACCTGATTATCAAAAAATACTTGCTTGACTGGAAAGATGCGATGAAAAATGAGAAAACAAGAAATCAACATACTCTTCTTTCAATAAAAAATTGAAATTTTGTAAAATTAAGCTTAAGGACCTTATTTCAAAGTGATTTGAAATAAAAGGTTCAAACTTCAGTTTTCATCAAAGCAAATTACATTGACCTAATGAAGCTGCACCTGTTTTAAGCTGATGGGGGTGATAGCAGAATCACTGCTTCTGTCTTAAACATATTCCACCGGAACTGGGAAGGATGGATAAACAGTATTTGTATTTGGCAATGTACAAGTGAGACTAAGTTCAAGGTTTTATACAAAAATAACAAAAAAAATAAACATTATTTAGTTAATTAAGTATAAAATTTGTTTATGGGCTTTCAAAGTTTGGAGTACAAGCGTGAGGATTGCAACTTGTGATCAGTGTCTCTTGATGTTGCAAGTGTGGCTCAAGTTCAAGTTGTTGTCTGACATATCCTCAGGTTCTTTTTGCTCCTTACTCAGTTGGGCTGTAGCCTGTAATTATGTGTGAAATTATTCTGCTCCAGGTACAAGATTTTCTATTTATTGTTGTACATCAAACATTTCTATCAGTCCTTTTCTCTGGCTTTTAAAGATTTTCTAGCTAGTAGTTCTGTCCTTCCTCCAGTGCATTAGCCATCCTCCTCAATTTGATGTCATCGACTGCCTTGCTAAGAGTCTATTTTGTCCCATCATCCATTTCCAGCTTTGAAGGTACCAGTGAAATGTTTTCTCTAAGAGCTATGTCACGTGAATGAATACTCTTATAATCTTTCTTTTCTGTTTGTGATACCATAAAAATCCTGTATTTCCTCAATAAGTCTCTGCTTTGCTGGATGAATACTATTCAATAATACTCAGTTTTTACCTTACTGTTTAGATTCTGTATTGCTATTCTGGTGACCTTGTATCACAATGTGGCACACACTTATGGAAACTTATGCACTGTGATTCAAGAGAAGAAGCTGTGTGGGAGTCATCATCTCTGTTAGGAGTGTATTCATGTAGGGGAGAATATTTAGTTTTTTGTACTGTGTTACTGCAAGAAATTATCTAGATTGTAAGTGACTGAGGCTATAAGTGAAAACATTGATTGGTGTTTCCTTATCCTCCTCTTTTAGGTACTATATCAGTGAACAGCAGACGCACTCCATTCACCGCTAGTGGAGAGAGTGAGATCCTAGATCTGGAGGGTGACATGTACCTGGGTGGGCTGCCAGAGAACCGGGCAGGACTCATCCTTCCCACTGAGCTCTGGACAGCAATGCTGAATTATGGCTACGTTGGCTGTATCCGAGATTTGTTCATCGACGGGCGAAGCAAGAACATCCGGCAGCTGGCAGAGGCACAGAATGCAGCAGGAGTCAAGTCCTCCTGCTCCCGCCTGAGTACCAAGCAATGTGACAGCTACCCATGTAAGAATAATGCTGTCTGCAAGGATGGCTGGAACCGCTTCATTTGTGACTGCACTGGCACTGGCTATTGGGGAAGAACATGCGAGCGAGGTAAGTTGACCTCAGTTGTGCAGAGTTGAAGGTGTGAAGATGTTTTAGAACAAAATTGAGTATTTGCATGAGACTTTTGCCCATGTTGATCTTTCCAGTGCAGAGTTCCAGTCCCGACACTAGGAAAGCTCTCATCTCTGTTTCCTTCCAGTTTTCTTCTCTTGCATTTCGTGAACTTACCTTCATGTGCTACTTTACTCCCTAAATCTGAAGTCCATTTCTTTGGGCTCTGGGGTCACTTCGAATACAATTTGTCTTCTAAGACAGAAAATGCTGCCATGTGTGAGAAATCTCAGGCAAATTACTGGAAAACATATCAAGTGTAAAGTGAGATCATTATAATTTTTATTGCGTGGCATAGATGACATATCCCAGTTTGTCGTGGTTTTGTGATGTTTTGTTTTTTTTTTTTGGTTGGTATTCCACATCATAACATCATGTAAATCAGTTGGAACTGATGTAAAGAGTCAGTGTTCCAGTTCTGTGGACCACTGTATCTGGGTGCTTTGTTCTCGGATGGGGAGGGGAGAGGCGACATTCCCACAGACACGGATTTAGGAATAACTCCATGACAAAGTTTTATCTAGTCTTCCTCTTTTTTACATGTGGGATTAGGACATATCTAATGAAGGAGTGAGTGGATGAATCTCTGCCCCTTACTGTTACTCTTTGACTAGTGATTGAAAGACTTTGGATTGGAGAAATGAGACAAGTATTGCAGGTACAGGCAGGCTTACTTATATGTTCTAGGCCACATGGAAATGAATTCAGAAATGTAAGATATCTGAGCTATATGTTTCTGAAATAGCAAGCGATTCAATTAATTGCTGCTGTTCTTATTGTGCTGGTGATGCCCTTGAAATGAAGTAACTATGTGGTTTGTTGCCCTAATCAACAATAGCAGTTAATTGCCAGTGGTCCTTAAAACAGTTGAAGCATCAAGATTGCAATCCATGCTGAGGACATAGGTGAAAATGTACTGTCATAAATTTCATGTATGTTGGCTATGCCAATGTCAGCTCAGCAGTACTCTCTTATGGGCTATAGATTAGATGATTCTGGAAAACATCAGAGGTTTTATCAACGGCAGTGTTGTGAGTTGTTTTGGCCAGTTGTTGTGTAACTATGCCCTACAGAGGCATAAAAAGAAGCACTACCATCTACATTATTTCCCCTCAAAACTGTAGTTTTGCTTGCTGTTGGTCTGTACTTGGTATCAGGAGGAACCAGCTCTGTGATTCAGGTCTTTCTGGACTCTGTCTCATGTCCATCTCATAAACTTGGCTATCAGAACAGAATCCAAAGGTAACCAATAACATAAAGAGCAGAATTCATCTTATGTACTTTAAATGTTTGTAGTTTCGCTTTTTGTTCCTTTTGTGATCAGTGAAATCAGGAGGTTAAAAGCATGAAACCATCAAAATCTAGAAGCGAATCTCGAGTCTGGCTTGAGATCTATAACAGCCATGCTCTGGCCAGCATCAGTATGAGTAAGAAAATAAGAAAGATGTGTGTGACTACATAATTACCAATGTAGAATCTTGAGGTCTTAAAAAATATGTGTTAAACATTATTTAAGGTTATAAAAAATAATGATGATACAGTTCAGGACAATCTGTGATGTATGCCAGAAGCCCTAATCTTGAGAAACTAATTTTTATTGTAACTAAAAACCATCTTCATGATTTAGGCCCAATGTCAAGCAAAACATGGTTTTCATATGTGAGGTTCCTTGACAATACAGGAAGCAGCTTGTGAGTATTTGGAGACTGTATACATGAAAAAAGTTCTGCTATTGGAATGTTTTTGATTCTAGAGTGTTTATTGTGGTGTTACATAACAGCTTCATATTGCTGTGATCAAAGTACTTGACATGAGCAAATTGTTTTGGTGCACAGTGATTTTGCCTCTGTGCAAAACAACACAGATGAACAGAAGAATTGCAGGCTAGCAAAGATAATTTTCATTCTCATGGTCTGACACCCAAGGATTACTGCAAGTCACAATTTCAGCTGGCCTGTGACATAAATACTGCTGGAATGTGAAAAGTTAATGTGAAGACTGGGAAGGGAATCACAGTGGGAAATGCTGCTGTGCCAAAATGGCACTTTGCACTGTGAGTAGAGAGCTGACATAATACTACAGGAGCAAGGCTGGTGTGTAAGGGTAGGAGTGAAGGAGCACATTAGCTTCTTTAATAAAGCAAACTTACTGACATACTTTTCTAGTCTCTGCTGGTGTCTGGGAAGTGCTACAGTCCTTTGATTCCCCCAGACCGAAGAAAGGAAAGCCCAAGATTTAGGTTAAGGTTAAGGGGCAGGGAATCCTAGAATAAAGGATCTCATGTGTCTGTTATTTATCAGGAGAATCATTTATTTTGAATAAGCAAAGCACACATTTAGAATTTAGTTAGGGTAATAAAAATACAAAAAAAAAACATATGTAGCAACTCCAGAGAGAAAAGCAGATATTCATTTGTTGGTAATGGTAATCTGTATCTCCTGCTTTCCAGATATAGAGTTATGTCGATATTGCTATATTTCTTGTACATTTTTCACGTTGCTTTATGGAAGACTATTATACATCTAAAAAGGACTGTGAAATGAAATTGTTTGTCTCCTAGTTAGAAAAGAGGTTTACATACTTTGTGTTAAGAGAATGCAAATACCGTATTAGCTGTATTTGCTGTATTTGACCATCAGTCAAGTTTCTGAAATGTCAGAGATCCCAGAATAACTACTGGAAGGGAAGAGTGGTGTGGCTGTACTCAGGGGTGGAAAAGAAGGCACGGGATGTCTCTGCTGGTTTTGCAAGTGGCATTCATTTAATTCAACTGATATTCTGATCTCTTTCTTTAGATGACTTTGGTAAGCACTATAACATCAAACGAAAAAAAACACCAGACATAGAGGCTTGGCGTCGAGGACTTGTGTTAAACACCTAAGCTCCTTGTGAAGCCAAGTGAGGGAGTTAGTGTCTTCTCAGGGGAAATCCAAAGCAATTATGTGATTTGCTTGCATCCTTTTGTTGATTTGCCTATCTCCTTTCTTTGGTTATGTGGAGATTCTAGTCAGATAATTCAGTACTGCTGTGCTTCGTCAGGGCTGTGCTAGGGAGGAGCTGACAGTGCCAAACTGCCAAGACTACCAAACTGACAAAAGTGAGGATGTCTTGGGGTGGGCAGACATAAAGCAAAGAAGATAGAAAAGAGGAAGACAGAGAAGAAACAGTGCCTCCTCTAAGTGACGTTGAGTCCCTTGTGGTCTACTGTAGGACAAACTTTGTGAGAAATGACAAAAAGAATTCTCAAGGGTAATGAATAGCACATTTCCTTCCATTGTTGGTGAAATATCTGCTCATAGAGAACCCAACAGAAATTTGGATGGCTTGCTAGTCAGTCCAGAAAAAGGGCTGAAGAGATGATGCAGACAGACAGGAGGGTGGGAGAGAGAGAAGTGATTCAGCTACTGTGAAGGTTCTTCAGTGCCTTTTAGGTACTTAATATCTTCTGTGCTTTTTGGTTTCTAATTTGTTAGTATTTGACATAAGCCAGAGCATCAGGTCACAGCAGTCCTGTTAATTGCACTAAATGAAAGTGTTAAGGGCAGAAGTTGAGGTCTGGCTAATGGAGCATGACGTACTTCTTTGGTGTGAGAAAAAGATTCCTCCTCACAACCCACAGAATTTTTTCAAAAAAGCCCCCAAAACCCTGGCATTAAACAAAGCAGGAGGAGCAGTGTGCGTTGTATTCACGTTAGTTGTTTCCTGTAGCTGCAGTAAAAATGCCATGAACCCCAAAGTGTCTATGGATCTGTTCTGCTCCTGAAAGCTCTCTGCATGTTTTCCTTCTACCTAAACGTTGTGAAACAGTGGAGGCCAAAAGCCCAAGAAGAAGGGCAAAGGCAAAATACTACTGAACATCAGATCATTTTTAGCCAGTTAAAATTAGATGTTGTTGATCACTCTTTTTTTTAATGCTTTTTCCTAGTTAATTGTCTTGGTTGGCCATTCTTTTATTAAGAGGTGTATAGTAATAAGATTAGCAAATGCAGATTAGTGTGAGGTTGTTAGGTATTTAAAACTGAAAAAAAAAAAAGCACTGAAATTTAGATTTTAAGTCTTTGGAATTAATTGCTCAGAACTGGACATTCCATTAGTCCTCTTCAGGTGAGACAGAAAAGTCATGTTCCTGACCTCTTCTGATCTTCACCCAGTACTCATTGCAGCAGACACAGATATCCTTTTCCTGTTCTCTGAAGGCTGGAACCAGTGTCCCTTCCTGTTTGGGTCTGCTCACAGATGGGTTATTAACTCCTCAGAAAACCAGGCTTGCTCTGTGTTTTGCAACATACGGTTTGTGAACAGCAATATACCTGCTGTTGGCAATGATGATGTTGAGCATAGGCATACACATTCTGTTTTATTATCTGCCAAATACCTTTATGGTTATGTTTGCTAAGAGCAGTTTAATGACAACAAACATCTGCCCATTATCTATGCAATAAACAGAGATGCTGTAAAATTACTGGTAATAAGAAATGCTACAAAATCATTTACTGCATGGTTTAGGTGCTACATCCTTTGCTGTCTCAAGCACAGGTAGCAGCATAGATACACATTTTTTATTTTAGTGAAGATGTCTGATGATTACATACTTGCAGATTCGTTTAAAAAACTTAAAATATGTTGATATTATTTAGACAGTCCAGTCCTTCTGAGTCTGCAGTGAAATGTGCTAGGTAACTGCTGGGAATAGATCTTCTTATATCCTGGGGGGTGCTGGACACATTAGAAATAAAACCTTTGCTGCAGTGTTTTAATGTTTTTAATTCCAGCTGGATCTTGAATATCTAAAGACTTGAGGAAAGACTAAACATCAAAATAATTTTTATGATTTCATGAGATAAAGTGAAAGACATTAAGGTGAAAGATGATAAAGTGAAAGATCTGGAGCTCTGATCTTAAACAAGATCTTAAGTCATTCTGTCATTGAATTATTA